TATTTCTTGGAGTTGTAGTAATGAGGGGCAGGTTTTTTGTTTCCGGTGCATTGCAATGACCTTTCTTGCTGCCAGCACAAAAGTGGACTGTGGCGAAACCAACCTCGCCACTGTGAACTGGAGAAGCCTGGTTGCTCGCCTGCTCCCTTTGGACTATGGCCCTGCAGGTTAAACTGTTTATTTCCCCTGCAGAAAGGCTTATTTGTGTGATCTGAGTGCCATTCATCTAATAATGTGCACTCAGATCCCAGCTATCTGGGGATATGTGAAATGTCTGTGTGTTATGTGTAAATGTGACTTTATGCATTTTAAAGTGTTTTGTGTCTTTTTGCAACCATGTGCTTAATGGAGTCTTGTGTCTGTCCTGGGAGATAATTGAATTACTTATCTCCAGGATAGAAGACTCTGAAACTGGTTTGGGCCAGAAAGCCATGCTTCATTTAGCCACAAAGGACTTTTTACTAACTTTTGAACCCCTTGTCTGATTTGTGCCATTTTGAATATGTTGTTCCCCTGAATGGATTGATTGTGAATATGTAATTTTATGTGAATGTGATGTATGGTTTTGGAGTTATGAAAGTTGGGTAGAAAGTATGTTTTAACTGTATGTATAATTGAGTTTCCTCTCAGGATAAGGGGAGGGAATATGTGGGATGTAACTGTGATGTGATTGGTTGTTTTGTAACGCCCTGTGGGCTGTACTATGTTTGTGGATTGGGAATAAGAGACTGTATGTGACAGTACAGGGAGTTCCTGCTTAACCCTCAAAGTGAAGTGTCGTCTCATTATTGGGGGAGGATTTATTGTATGCTGTTCCAGTTTGACTGCTAGGAGAGTAAACCTATTCATATGGTTCCTATTCAACTGTCTACAGCATTCATATGCTTGAGAGGATTCATATGCTTCTCCGGTTCGGTGGTTGTGGTGTCTGCTGCAGTGCTTGGAGTCCTCAGGAAGCGCTAGGAGCATCCTTCAACGGAGGTACCCAGTCGGGGTGCCAGGCGATCCGTTACATGGACAACATCTGTTTGGCCAATTTGGGCATTCAGGAGGGTAGAGCAGAAATAAGCAGATTTTTATATCTATCTTCTGCATAATAATGTTCCATTTAGAAACTAGGGTTTGTACTTTATCCCATAGTGGCCACATATCTGGGCATTCCCACCGTATATGCATCATATTGCCATCTGTGTGTCTGTATTTCCAGCATGAACTAGAGACTGCGCAGTAGATTCTGTGGAATCTAGCTGGGGTGAGGTACCACCTGTAAACCAGTTTTCTATGGGCTTCAATGTGCGTATAACAACGCGTGATACCTTTGAGAGCATTTATGGCAGCTATCCATTCTCTAGTCATAAGGGTGTGGTGCATTTCTAAGGACCACTGTCTAGGAAAGTTACATGTATCATATGGGGATGTCTCCATTAATACTTTATAACATAGAGACAGCGCCTTTGGTTTGTTTGGTGATCGCCTGCATCTCTCATACAAGAGTGGTGTGTGTCTGTGTGTGTTTGTGTGTGTGGAGTTATTGATGCATGTGTTGGACTTGGGTTTGTATTATACTCTTAATTTGAAGGTATTGGAATATCAGTAAGTTTGGTAGGTTAAAGTGCATCTGAAGCTCTGGGAAGGTTTTTATGGAATTCCCCTGGCCAGGGCTGCCATCAGAAATGTTGGGGCCCCTGACACAGCTCAAGGTCTGGGCCCCCCGGTGCCTGCACCCGATTCTGCCCAAAGTGCTGCCCCCCCCCGAATCCGCCCACAGGGATGCAGTGTCTACAGGGCCGGTGCAAGGATTTTTGCCGCCCTAGGCAAAAGTAAAGTTTGCCGCTCCCCCATGTGACATCACAATGCCCCACCCATATGATCTGCCATGTTATCTAACACCAGTGCTGCAGTGCCGCCGTGTTTACATTAAAAGGCCTGCAGGGACAGGCTAGACACCAGAACCACTACATTAAGCTGCAGTGGTTCTGGGGACTATAGTGTCCCTTTAATGTGAGGTAAATTAGAGATTAGTGCCACAAATAATATACTAGATTGCCTAGTTACAACCAGATGAGGATGATGATGGGCTCTAGCTGCCGTCTGGCTCCACTGGTCTGGTGTACAACAGGCTCTCTGGAGGCGGTTTGTAACTGGTCACAAAAATCACTGTTCTGGGAGAACGGGAAGCAGCTCAATTTTTTTGAGGGCCCTTTACACAGCTCAATGTCTGGGTCCCAGGGTCCACCTTCATGTTCCACCAATGAGTTTGTTCACAGGGAGTGGAGTGTGTGTGTGGGGGATGTCCTGATGTGTGTAAGGAATGCATTGTGTGAATCTGTGTAAGGGCTGCAAGATGAGTTTGTGTATGTATGGGATGCAGTGTGTGCGTCTGTAAGGGGCGCATTGTGTGTTGCTGTGTGTAAGGGATGCATTGCTTGTGTACATATATCTGTGTGTAATGCAGTGTGTTTTTCTGTGTGCAAGGGGTGCATTGTGTGTGATGGATGTCAATCTCTCCCCCTCCCATTTCATTCTTTCTCCTTTCCCCCTCCCATTTCATTCCTCCCCCCCTCCCATTTCATTCCTTTCCCCCCTCCCATTTCATTCCTTTCCCTCCCATTTCATTCCTTTCCCCCCTCCCATTTCATTCCTTCCCCTCCCATTTCTTTCCTCCCTTTCCCTTTCTCGAATTTCCCTTCCCCCCATTCATTCCTCCTACTCCCTCGAATTTCATTCCTCCTACCCCTGACACCTCCTACCCCTTCCACACCGGCGGCGGGCGGGCAAGCACTCTCTGTGTGCTTCCTCTTCAGCTCCCTCGCGCGCCGCGTACTGATGCCGGAGCCGGAAGATGACGTCATCTTCCGGCTCCGGCATCAGTACGGTGCGCGAGGGAGTTGAAGAGGAAGTACACAGAGAGTGCTCCCTTGCGCGCCGGCCCGCCAGGTGTCAGCAGGGCCAGCCTCTGGGGGCCCTGACGTGGCCGCCTCCTGGGCCCCCCAGGAGAAGAGGCTGGCCCTGTGGGTACATACCGGGGTCGCAGGGCCCCCTGTGACCCGGTATGTACCCACTGAATGTGGGGCCCAGACAACCTGAGCAGTCCGGGCCCCCCCAGGACCGCCGGGCCCATGACAACCGTTGCGGTTGTCATGCCCTGATGGCGGTCCTGCCCCTGGCAAATGTCACCTTTATTCTTAATGCCTAGTTCGGGCCATGTTTTAACCATGGTGGTGATGCTTTAAGAGCTGACAAGGGTGCATGTTTCTGACACTTCGTGAGATCTCTGTGTTTGCCTTGGAGTTGATCCCAGTGTTTAATGGATAGTACAGTGGTTGGGAATAACTTGGTTTGTTTCGGTCTCAAGTGTTTGGGTGTCCATAGGAGACTTACTAAGGAATGCCATGGAAGTGTTTATCTGTGTTGTATGTTTTGATTGGATGTTCCACAAAACCCTGTGGGTGGAACTTTGTCTGTAAAATGTGTGTGTGTATATAAGGCCAATAAAGACACAGCTCAGTCTGTTCACTGCTTGACCATCAACACGGAGCTTTGTCTCGTTCTTGGGGGGGATTTATTGTATGCTGTTCCAGTTCGACTGCTAGGAGTGTAAACCTCTTGTATGGTTTTTTCTATTCGGTTGTTTACAGCATTCGTATGGTTTTTTCTATTCGGTTGTTTACAGCATTCGTATGGTTCTGGTTCGGCTGTTTACGGCATTCATATGGTTATCTGTTCGGGTGGATTGGTGTCTACAGTAGCTGCCTGTATATCTGGAAGGGAAGATCTACTGAATGGCGGTTTAACCCTTTTATGCCTGGGGGCGCCGTTACATATAGTGTATACATGTGTTCATTTCCTGTTTATTGGTTTCATTGTCAACCATAGTCATGTGATTATTTTTTTTCACCCTCCTCTCATTCATTCTGATATGTTCAATTGTTTCTGGTATGTATTATTTGGTGGACATTCTTATACAGGTATCCATTCTTTTTTGTATCTGGATTGGTACTATTTATTCTGCATATCGAGGATTGATTATGCTTATCTTCTGATTTGGATATAGTTTTCATATTGATGGTATATGTATGGTCGTATCTATACTGAGGTTTGCTGTTAGATATTGTGTGATACCTGTGATTTTTGTACCTGTATAATAAGTGCATTTTAGTTGAGTTGGTTGTGCTCCTCATTCATTATTCTAGTACATTGTCTTATTAGCCTCTGGAAATAGGGCTCTAGAGTGGGCACCTTTATTTTTGCATTCGTATTGACTGCATGGATCTATTGGATATGGTTGGCAGCCGGGTGTGCCTACCATTTTTTTTTTTTTTAATGGGATTTACTATCTCTTCAAGAGGTAGGCTCCAGGACTCTTAGTTTTGTTTTTGAGACCTATGTTTTTTTTAGATTTTGAGTCTAGCAACATGCTTCTATAGGAGTATGCACACACATAAGTTGCAAGAAAAAGTATGAACCCTTTGGAATAATATGGATTTCTGCACAAATTGGTCATAAAATGTGATCTGATCATCATCTAAGTCACAACAATAGACAATCAGTCTGCTTAAACTAATAACACACAAAGAATGAAATGTTGTCACGTTTTTATTGAACACACCATTTAAACATTCACAA